GTCGACTAAATAACATACTATAGTCAAGACGGATGAGCATGAAATTAAAATATCAACTATCATATACAAAAAACGTGATTAAACTAAACTAGAAGTAGCTGTATAGCTGCTGAATTAGAAAAAAATGCTCCTACGTACATCTTGGTCACAGTCAAATTGGTCCAAATAAGCTACGTAACAATGGAAATTCTGCTCATCTAATTATTATTAGGAAAGAAACTAGAAAATACATTTATTGTCCTACTATAATACAATATAACAGCTAGGACTAGTCTAGTATACAGAGAATTTTCTAGTAGGAAAACACGACCATAAAAAAGAAATTATCTCCAATGCACTGATAGTGTAAATAATTTTTATATCACTCGAGTTCAAATTTATAGACCATCTATCAAATCAACTAAAGAATATTTATAGAATTTGATATCTCAAAAATAAATATATTACCTATTATAAGTGACATATACTTTTTTTATTCCATATTAATTGAATTTGTGAGACAATGCATTACCATAATTTCCACTATTGCTCTTTGTAAAATGTATATTAACCTTATAAGTAGTACTATAATTTATCTTCTAGAAATATAAAACTTCAATAAATGAAAGGGCGAATATAAAAATAATAATTATATATCCATCTTGAACTTGAATAATAAAAAATATAATAAAGAGAGTAATTTAAAAATTCGACTAAAAAGAAAGTATAGATATATATATATATAGTCAGATAAGCACGGCAAGTGCCCGCTAGTGTACAGATATAATTGAAAAATTAGAAAACTATATGAAGGACAGAATCCATATTCCTTATTTGACTAATTAAACCTACCAATTCTTTTGAATACATAAATTAAAAAGGAATTAGCAAACCAAACACCCCAAGACATTTAAAAAGACTCCCAACTTTTCATTATTCAACATGCCAATAGCACTTTATTAGTACTAAATTCTTTAATACTTTGATTTATCACTCTTAATTATCTCCCCATCATTCTAGTTCATCCCACTTTTTGTGATTGTTCATCATGTTTCTGTATTTGTTAGCAATTATTCCTTTGTGTTTGCTTGTGAAATTTGTATCAAAAACATCTGTACTTCACATTTTGAAGAAATGGTTGCGTTTGTTACAAGACAAATTCTATGTTTACCAGTTCTACAAGGTCCCCCAATTCAACCACAACATGCAGGAAAATCAACTCTATCGGAAAATCAGTACTTACCTGAATTCTTTACCTTGTGTTGAAGATTCTGATTTCACCAATCTTTTCTCCGGAAGCAAATCCAATGACATCAATCTCGTTCTCAACGCCGATCAGAAAATCGTTGATAATTTCCTCGGTGCTAGAATTTCTTGGATCAATGAGAAGGATGAAAAAACCGGTGCCAGATCGTTTGTTCTGAAGATAAGGAGGAACGATAAGCGTCAAATTCTCCGTGCTTATCTTCAACATATTCACTCGAAATTCGACGAAATTGAGCAGAGGAGAAAGGAGGTGAGATTGTTCGTCAACGTAAACGATGAATCGAACAGAAACGGAAACGGAAACAGACGGTGGATATCAGTGCCGTTTACTCATCCGGCGACACTTGACACTGTTGTAATGGAACAGGATTTGAAGAACAAGGTCAAAGCCGATTTGGAAACGTTCCTGAAATCAAAGCAGCATTATAATCGAATCGGCCGGATTTGGAAACGGAATTATTTACTTCATGGACCTTCCGGTACAGGAAAATCAACGTTCATTGCAGCAATGGCAAATTTCCTAAGCTACGATGTGTATAACATTGATTTATCAAACGTTTCAGACGATTCAGATCTGAAACTACTTCTATTGCAGAGCACGAATAAGTCATTGATTGTCATTGAAGATCTCGATAGTTACCTGTGTAACATCTCAACAGCTCTAAGTTTCTCTGCGATTCTCAATTTCATGGACGGAATTTTTTCATGCTGCGGTGACGAACGTGTTATGATATTCACGATGAACAGCAAAGATCAGATTGATCCAGCAGTTCTAAGGCCTGGAAGAATTGATCATCACATACACTTCCCCTTGTGTGATTTCAACGCATTCAAAAGTCTAGCTAACAGTCATTTGGGATTGAAAGATCACAAGCTTTTCCCACAGGTAGAGGAAAATTTTCAAACTGGCTCGGTTTTAAGTCCGGCTGAAATCAGTGAAATCATGATTTCAAACCGGAGTTCACCGAGTAGGGCATTAAAATTAGTGATTTCTACTCATCAGAGTAACATCAAGCTCGTCCCTTCAAGAACATCCGATAAAATTGAAATGATACACAATAACGTTGAGGCTGACTTAGCTCCTAAGCATCCACTATGGTTGAGCAAATCTAGATCGGTTCGACCCGTGGAGGAATCGAGTGAGTCGGATAAGTATCCACAAGGATTGATCAAATCTAAATCGGTTCGACCCATGGTGGAGTCGGGTGCATTTGGCAAGGAAAGTGTAAACGATCTAAGAAAGTTTTATGGACTTGTAAGGATAAAGAGTAGTAGGAAGAAATCTTTAGATTTTGATACCTCAGAAAAATAAATTGTAGGCAAGATATTGGTTAGCTAGTTAGCATGAAGATGCATTTGTTCAATTAGGTGTGACATGAATTTTAGTTATGGGGTTCCAACAATTAATGGATTCTTTGTTATAGAATCATCTATTTCTTTAGTGTTATTCAATAATGAAATGTAAATTTAGAGTGAGAGTTTTAGAAACTTATTGATGTGTTTGATGTTCGGAAATGGTCTTTCTACTTCAACGAAATAGTGATAAGGTCCGGATACATTCTACCCTACCCAGACTCCACTTAGTCAAATTTCACTGGATATGTTATTGTAGTACTGATAGATCTATATGGTATTGTCTCTTTTTAGTTAAGCAAATGAACCTTAATCACCTTTTTGAAGCATTATATCAATTCTTAATAATGTTCATTCAGTTATTTTACATCACTTAACTATTGCAAATTATATAAAATCAAAAGGTAAAAGTCTTGCAAATTAGTACATATTTTTACCTCTTGAGTCCAATATATAGACTTTCGTAACCCTTCATTTGGTACTTATGCAAAACCAAAAAGGTCACAAGTCAAGTATATAATTTAGTATTGACATGTTGAACAAGCTAGCTTCTTTGCGTTTAACAATTATTCCGAATACGTATGTCAAATTTGACTCACTCTATAAACTTTAGTTATATATAAAGAGAAGGAGTCGTCAAAGTCGAGGAATTAAGATCTCTTACCCACTTACAATTTGAATAGATGAAAAGATTGATTAAGATCTCTTACCTACTTACAATTTGAATAGAAAAAAAATAATTTTTTCAGATCTCTTATATGTAAAAATGAAAATTTCTTTAAAAAAAAGACATAAACTAAAGTTAATTTTATTATTCATATGTTCCACAAGGCTTAGACATTTTCCTCCACAAAGTTGCTCCATTGAAGTTTGATCATTTCATGCCCATCATTTTGACCTATTACTTTTTTTTTTTTATAGATAAACTATGAAAAGTGAAGAAAAGGAAAGTGGATAAAATTGAGACTCCACATATAACATGGAATATTTTTATAAAGGGAGTTCCGTGGTTCTTTCTTTTTTTCCCCAATTGTTCACTAGTATTAAAAAGCTGTTGAGTCACAGTACATAGCAGCAAGCAACGTTTATTGATAATAAAAATAAGAGATGAGAAAGTAAAATACAAATACAAAAACAAAATCTTTATATTGATAATTTCTTATGCCACATCGAACCAAATATTTTAGTCAAAGAAGGAGGCCAAAATTAAGCTGCACCTTGCCCAACATAAATTCAATGCCAAATGTCCAACAAGTAGGCAAGACTCGACGTATCATCGCCATTGACACAGGGCTCACTATATTGTAGACCAAGTCCAATGCATGAGTTTGGATCCTCCAAAAATGCATTACTTTGGAAGGATCCGACACGCACCAGTCAACATTTTTGAAGAGTCTGAGCAACATAAGTTGTTTAGAATTATTCAGATATTAGTTTTGTAAGTTTTTATATTGCAAATCAAACATCATATTGATTTTATATATTAGTAATAATTTACTTCCTACTTATGTAGAGATTGGTACATGAATAAGTTAGCTCTTTACCAGGCACTAGCTACCAAACGACCCCCAACTTCACAGTAATTGACGCCATCACACACGAGAATAGGCAGAGGAGCGTTTAAGAATTCATATTTAATAGTATTGTGAAGGTGTTTGATTGACACAGTTTAAGAATGAAAAAACACTTTTGAAACTTATAGTTCAAATTTAGGGTCAAAATTAAGGAACTATGTCACATAAATTAGAACGTGAGGGATTTATAACAAATATAGAAATGTGACAATTTTTTCAGGAATCGAATAAACGGAAAGAGTGTCAGGGAAGTAGTATATTGTAGACAGTCAGCCACAACTACTTTCTTTGAGTCTGAAACAGAGCTAGAACCCAGGGGATATATTTATACTTGTTCATTTGTCAAAGTTTTTAATTAAAAGAGAGAGTGCAGATGTATGTTAGAAATGGGCAGTGCACACAATAATACAAATGCATTTAACTCTCAAAAATTAGCCACAACTACTTTCTTTGAGTCTGCAACAGAGCTAGATGCCTAGAACCCAGGGGATATATTTATACTTGTTCATTTGTCAAAGTTTTTAATTAAAAGAGAGAGTGCAGATGTATGTTAGAAATGGGCAGTGCACACAATAATACAAATGCATTTAACTCTCAAAAATTAGCCACAACTACTTTCTTTGAGTCTGCAACAGAGCTAGATGCCTAGAACCCAGGGGATATATTTATACTTGTTCATTTGTCAAAGTTTTTAATTAAAAGAGAGAGTGAAGATGTATGTTAGAAATGGGCATTGCACACAATAATACAAATGCATTTAACTCTCAAAAATTAATAATCTACAATATGAATCTCAGTTGATTTCTAATGCCTTGTCTGTACAAAAGAAAAATGGTACAGCAGCTAGCATTCTTATCCGATAGAGTTTAGGTGGTTGAACTTCATTCTTCTGAAGCTGTTGGTAATTCTTCTTTGTACCAGTTATAGATTCCTCCCTCCAAATGAAATACATTAGTATAACCATTCAGAACTAGCAAATATGCAGCAATAAGTGACCTGCAAAAGGTGAATAAAGTTTACAACTCTTTATTTATGACGCATGAAAATGAAATGTTACAAAAACATCCCAAAATCAAATTGGGCGGCCTAATTCACATTTCAAAAGCTAGCTCAAAGTGAGGAGAGGATTGTCCAAGCTTTATAAGGAGCTTAAGGTTCTCATCCTGGTCCGATGTGGGATCATTCTCATCATCATCCCTCACACCTAGATATGAACATTCGTTATCCGGGGTTCTATTGTTCAGACCATGTGTGCTCGATCCACATGAACATTCGTTATCCGGGGTTCTATTGTTCAGTCTGATGAGTGCACAATCATGGATCGAGAGTATATTCACACCGTTTTGGGGTTGCCACATTGGATTGGGTCTAACTCACACCCGAAAGGTAGCTCAAAGAGAGGAGGATTGCTGAATCCTTATAAAGAGCCCAAGGTTCTCGTCCCGGTCCAATGTAGGATCATTCTCATCAGTTGCATTCAACTATTGGAAAGATCTTGACTTTTCAATTTTAGGTGACCAAAACTGTTGAAGGATCTCTAAAATGCCCCCATCCAGATTTATCATGGTTTGTGAGTGTACTTAGCTAGTTCTGTAAATTTCTTTTCTTTCAACTTTCTTCTGGACACCCAACTAATTAAGTTGTTTGCGATTAAATAGGAGTAATGAAGATGTTAACCCCAGTAAAATACGAAAACGCAAAAAAGGTGAAGTATAAAGAAGAAGAAGATTAAGAACCTTGATTGTTGGCCCTCGGGAAGATTTTGGGTAGGCTTCATTGTACCACCGGATGAGCAAGCGACTATTATCTTTGCATCCTTATTTATTTTTGATTCAACAACTGCTTGAGCATATCAACTTGTTAGTTCTTTGGATGTAAAAAAGAAATGGAGTATTTTTTTATGCCAAGGGGATTCGACAATTTGTATATATATGCAAAAGAAATTATTTGGAACCTCTTAAACCACACTGTCTCCGCCCTTGACTATATGAATTAATCCAGATAGAAAAAAAAAAAAACATATGGAAGAGTATTATTACGTTGTAAGAATTCAGGATTTTCTTCAGTTCCAGAAAATATGCCAAAAAAGGCGAATGCAGCCCTCCTAGCAATGTCCCATGCTGTCCATTCCTTTATTAGTCTGTATATCTGGACATTAATAGCTCCTTCTGGATGAGCCTGAATGCCAAAAGAGCAACTACCACAGTTAGCAAAGTCTAATTCAAATTGAATCATATTATCTTGGGATATTTGAGCTGCTCTTGTTTTTGTTTCCTCTGCTTTCGTTTCTGCTTGAAGGTGGTAACTGATTCATGATTTATACAAGGGGATAGGGTAAAAATCACCCCTCTACTTTCATTTATAGTCAGCTTTATCCTCCATTATACTATCAAAGTTAAGTTATATACTATATAATTCACGGGACTGTCTGTACGTACCTCTTTGAACTCGGCCTCAGGTCGTACATCAAGAATCACAAAATTGTTCTCTTTCTGAAGTCTGAATGCTTCTTTTGCCTCTACACTCCTTACCTGAAATTATATACTATGCCTTGTTAGATGCTGTAAAAAATAGCCAAGCCCAATTCTAGGGAAACTAATAGGCATGAATGACAAAAAAATTGGATTCTCAATTCTTTTATGTTTTAATTAATTGATGATCATAATTTGGAGTATTCTTTTTGTTGATAATATACAAAGAGATAGAGAAAGAGAGATTGTTTTACCCTTTTCTCAAGCAAATAAGCTCTTTTAGTTGACCAGTCTTCTTCAGCTAGTCCACCAAAAAACAATATATAGTTATAATAAAAAACACACACAAAAATAAGTCACTCTATCTGCTTCAATCATAGGCAGGGGCGAAGGGTGGTCTAGTGCAAATCCTTCGCCAGAAAATTATGTGGTGTACTCAGGGTTAAATGTTAATTAATTACGAGTATATATTTAATATTGCACCTCCTTCACCAAATTCCTGACTCCACCACCGATCATAGATAGGTTTTAAAAAGCTATATATATACCTGGTGATTTAGCAGGTTTAGTAGCAGCACATCTGATTCTGAGGGTTGTTGAAGGGTTGTGCCTCAAGGAGAATGATCTTCTCTTAACTGTGGTAGCTAAGCTACATGTAACAGATGCTAATTCTGTGGGAGTTGAATATGTTACAGAATGAAATCGATGCTGCAAAGAAGCAGAAGTTGAGCCTGCGCTAACTGAAGTTAGTGCAGCCATTTTTTAATTAATGTTAGATGCTATAGATGATGATTTCTAATTATTGTAGCACAGATTGAAAGATGCAAACTTGATGTGTCTGGAAGTATCTTTCGAAAAATGTGGATATTTTAGGCAATCTGAGTTTGTGGTGTTAGTTTAAACGCAGTGGGGTTATTTGGATTTCATTATTGCCATGTCATCTGTCTTTTCTCTCTACAAAGATTATACTACTCCTTCTATTATAATTTATTCGTCACATTTTGAATTTTGAGATACAAATAAATTTATTTTTGATTATAAATTTTTTATATATCTTTTAAATTGTTAATTATTGTGACTTATAATATTTTTTACGTAGTTTACAAATGTATAAATCTCATTTTAAAAAGACTGGAGATTTTATGCACAAATTCTCAGTCAAACACTTAAATTGTTTGACTCTCAAATAACCAAAAATACCACATAAATTAAGACATAGGGAGTATAATCCAAGTCCACGTGGATTCACCATTTTAGTTTATTATTTTGAATTATAGTAGGAGTAATTATTTAAAGTAAGGATGCGAGTGAATTCAACTTGTATAGAACCAAAGTATTCCAAAATTGTAATATTGGGAATTTGAACTTGTCATTTATAGTACTCTATCCGTTTACTTGTCACATTTTGACTCGGCACATCTATTAAAAATATAATTATTGATATAGGTATTTTATCAAACTATCCCTATTAAATGATGTTTAATATTAAGTCTTGAAAAATGATTTAAAGAAAGAGTATTTAATGCTGAGGGTAAATTATTTTTTCTTGATATGTCAAAAGTGACAGGTAAAAATGAAATTTATTTTAAAAAAAAGTGACAAGTAAAAGTGAACGGATAAAATATTTTTTTTCTAACTATGCAATATAACTTCTTTTACTAAGAGGATTTACTATATAACTCTATCCCTTCTCCTAGTTTTGCTATTGTGTAGGCTCATTGACCCATTAATTTAGAAGTGAAATTCATTTATCAAAAACTCTCTTTTCAACTTTGAGCTATAGACATTTCTCCTCTCACATTTTAAGTAATGTCTATATTATGAATTTGAAGTCAAAGGGCAAAAAAAATAGAGTAACATTTCTATAAAGGGCAATAAAATGAAGTATGAAATCAAAAGGGTAATAACTCCATCCAAATGTTGCTCTTTTGATTTCATATTCAATTTTGTTATCCTTTTGAAAATCTTTGCTCAATTTTATTTACCTTTCTGGTTCTGGACTCTCTATATTATGCTTTACCTTATTACACATAAAAATCCAAGACCCTTTATTAAGGAGGAAGAAATTTTATGTATTACCACATCCCTTGATGTTTCTTAAATTATGGTATGAACTCACTCTAAGCATAAATATAATATAGCCGTTTAAAATCATCATTAGTTGATATATATCTTTTGTTCATCATAATTCCTGAGATTGCTCATATTCTTACCTGTTGTTAGTTTAAGCATTAGATAGGTTCAGTTAAACTATCTTAGCAGTAGTCCATATAGTAGTTCACCTACATTGGGCTAGAGAGTGGCCACTGGGCTACCGATGTATTATTTTAAGATCAGCAGCCCATTAAGACAAAAGATTTAAACAAACTAGGATTGGCAGGGGCCGCGCGAACGCAGGCCCCCTCAGCAACAAATTATGACGTAGGCTCGACCACTTGGGCCGACCTTAGGCAGGCACCCCTCCAAAGTGCAATGGAGGTCACAAGCCTAGGCCATGGGCCTTCATGATTACCCATTGACCCCGTCCAGGTAAGTATGTTTCTTCATCCTACTTGGCCCAATATTATACTTCCTTCTTCCGTCTCCATCTTCTCTATTTGCCGATGTGGGAAAACTGGGTTCCTTCTGTATACATATTCAAAATTTCATTGTTGAATGGATTAGTTATTAAAAAAAATTAACATAAAATTAGCTAATTATCACAACGATTGCAGTCTTAGCCAACAATAAGAGATAAACATGATTAGTGCTCCCAAACGATTATTACTTCCTCTCATGTTTGTAAATATGATTCCATTAAGGCTAGTCAAATTTCATGTGACTCTGTTTTTTTTTACTACTTTATATATGAACATAGGATTCGAAAGTCTAATGAGTTCTTCAATACTTTGTATCTTGGTATATTTCACCAAAAAGGAAGATTATGTGATTAGTTGAAAACTTTCAACTAATCATGCTCTTTAAGGTCTTGCACAAACTCGACCTGTCTAGTTTAAATCTTTAATTAATACTACTATTTTTATCCTAATTTGCATTGCATATTCTTTATTATTAACTTGCAATGTTGCTAAAGCATCTCTATTAATTCTCTGTTTTTTGTTAAGGAAATCACATTTGAGAACCTAAATAGTTCTCGGTAACCACAAGTCCAAAACCATCAAGAAATGAAGCATGGGAATGAAGGCACATACGCTTTCTAGCAAGGTCTTAAAAAGTCTCTAGACCTAAATGACAACAATCAGACAATCAAAATTGCTCTTTCATCAACAGAGCACAAGTTGATAATGTCTACTTCATCATAAGTTGTAGCGAATTTAAAAAGAAATTCAAACGATTCATGGCATGATCAGACAACCAACTTTTCAAACTTAATATTACGGTACATATATTATAACATCTCTCATCCGTCCAGATATGAAATTTAACAACACATGCATGTGGTCCAATAAAGCTGAGGCAAATAATTGAGGTTGAAACGTTTAATGCAATATATAAATAATTCATATAAAATTATAATAATTAATTTCTTAAAATAAATAAATTTTTAAAAAAGGAAAAAAAGTAATTTAAGAAAATGGTATAAATAACATTCATTATGAAATTAAGAAAAGACAGTATAAGATATTAATATCATAGATGATAGAAGAAATTAAATATGGTCATCTTTTCTTTTAAATTTAGGAAAAACATATATATATATATATAAAACTTTGATTAAAGGTAAATAAAAAAAGTAAAATAAATATAGAAAAAAAGTAAAATGAACTTTAATTAAAGACACATAATTTTTTTCAAGAGAAAATAAAAGAATAAAGAAATTAGTAGAGTAAAGAAGTTGAAAGAAATAATATTTAATTTCGTCTCCTTTTGAAATCACAAAAAAACATTTTCACGCCTATTTCCACATCTAGAGGTCCTTTATTAGGAATTGCGCATTAGCCCATGGATTTGGCGCCCGGAGCACTTATATTTTTTTTCTCAAATTTTTTTATGAGGATCTCCGTGTTGAGTTGGGAAACTATTACGTATACTCAAACCATTTTTTTCACGCACATTTCTGCATCTACAGACCCTTTTTTTGAAATAGCGCAAATTCCTCAATTTTTTGTGTGTTAATATTAGCCCATGGATCTGGCGCCCGGATCACCAAAAAAAAAATTTCTTAAAAAACTTTATGAGGACCTCTGTATTGAGTTGGGAAACCATTACGTATACTAAAAAAAATTCACACCCATTTCCGCATATAGATGCCCTGTTTTAGGAATCGCGCAAATTCCTCAATTTTTCTTGTGTATTAGCCCGTGGATTTGGAGCCCGGAGCACCCAAATTTTTTTTCTCAATAAACTTTATAAGGACCTCCGTATTGAGTTGGGAACAATCACGTATACTCATACCATTTTTTCACACCCATTTCCGCATCTAGAGGCCCTTTTTTTAGGAAACGCGCAAATTCCTCAATTTTTCATGTGTATTAGCCAATGGATCAACTGCCCGGAGCACCCCAGTTTTTTTTTCAAAAAACTTTATGAGGACTTCCGTTTTGAGTTGGGAAACCATTTGGTATACTCACACCATTTTTTTCACGTCCATTTCCATATCTACATGCCATTTTTTTAAGAATCGCGCAAATTTCTCAATTTTTCGTGTGTATTAGCTCATGGATCTAGCACCCGAAGCACCCAAAACTTTTTTCTCAAAAAACTTTATGAGGACCTTCGTATTGAGTTGGGTAACCATTAAGTATACTCACACCATTTTTTCACTCCCATTTCCTTATTTACTAGCCTTTTTTAGGAATCGCGTAAATTTCTCAATTTTTCATGTGTATTAGCCCATCGATGAGCGCTCGGAGCACCCAAAACTTTTTCTCAAAAAACTTTATGAGGACCTCCGTATTGAGTTGGGGAACCATCACATATACTCACACCTATTTCCTTATTTACAGACACTTTTTAGGAATCGCATAAATTCCTTAATTTTTTGTGTGTATATTAACCCATGTATCTGGCTCCCAGAGCATAAAAAAAAATATTTTCAAAAAACTTTACGAGGACCTCCGTATTGAATTCGAGAATCATCACGTATACACACCATTTTTTCACGCCAATTTCCACATCTACAAGCCCTTTTTAGGAATCGCGCAAATTTCACCATTTTTCGTGTGTATTAGTAGCCCATGAATCTGGCGCCCGGAGAGCCCAAAAAAGAATTCTCAAAAAACTTTATCAGGACCTCTTTATTGAGTTGGGGAACCATCACGTGTACTCACACCATTTTTTTTCACACCCATTTCCACATTTAGAAGCCCTTTATTAGGAATCACACAAATTCCTCAATTTTTCCTGTACTTTTGGCGAGAAGCCTGAGTTCGCCGAAAATCCTTCTTGATCCCTCTTTCTGTGCCCCTAACCCCTAAAATGCACTGTAACTTTCGGCGGGCTAACCCTTGCTCGCCGAATGCTATCGGTGATTCGCCGAAAGGACTTTCCCATCGCTGACATGCCAATTTTGCTGAGAAATTTTGAGTCAATCCTTTCGGTCAGCCCGATCTCCCACTTCTTCCTCCCAAGGCTCTGGTACTTCCACCACTTCCCAGCTTGTCAAGATTGCTCAAGCTTTGATCCTGAAGATGGGACACTTAGCCCATTTGACTGATGTGAGGGCTACTAGATTGGAGGCTGCTATTTTAGCTGCATTGACCCCCCTCCGAGCTTTTGTTGATGAGTTGACTACGAGAGTCACAGTTTGTGAGAGTAGACATTGGGAGTCTTCTTAGGTTACAAGTTGACTGCAAGAGTCACAACTTGTGCGAGTAGACATGGGGAGTCTTCTTAGGTTACGAC